CATAGAGAGTATCGCAGTAAACATATGAAATTACCCCCCATGAAAATGTTTTCTAAGATTGCAAAATCTGCTTGGAAAAAAGAATCACAAATCGTTAAGAACGAATACATTAAGCTAACCAAGGATGCCAAAACTTTGTATGACGAGGGGAAGAAGTTTCAAGAAAGCGGGAGTGCCGTACATGTCGATCATTATGAAGTAACCAAAGTAACCAAAGTAACCGAAGTAACCGAGGAAGCACAAAAAGGGTGTTCCGAAATGAAAGATCCGAATTTGGAATGAATTCAAGCAATACTTCTTTAAAAATTTTTTTTTTTTTTACTCACTTTTCAATGAACCCTTTTTTTTTCTTTTTTAAAGTAAAGTCTCATTTTATTTTACGCCTTTAATTATATCTTTTAACATACTCAGAACAAGTATGTTTTAAGCAAACATAAATTTAGTTTATTTTATCTTTATTCGCCTTCAAAGCAAAATTGTTATTAGATTATTTATCTATGAATTCATTTTTTATTGTTATAAAAAAAAATTTTATTAAAACAATCCGGAATATCGGGTTTCCACCAAGTTGGATGAGGATGTATCAACACAACTCCTTCCGCATACAAGAATGTAAATTTTTTTCTTTTAATCTTATCACTGAAAACTTCCTATTCTACTGAAATTAAAACTCGTAAGACAATGTACGACATATTTCTGATAATTTACATTTAGATTTATATGGTTAACTTTGATTTTATGTTGGGGCTGTCAAACTTGGAGAACAATAGCTTCGCTAGTCCAAAAACGTGCTGTTAGGCACAGCAAATCTATTCACACGTGACCAAAGTCCATTTGTCAGCTGATTGCAAACTACGAACTGAAAAAAAAAAATTACTGCTCTTTCTATATTGATACAATAAAAAAAAGTTAAAGGCGGTGACGAAGTACCCTTAATAAAGTCAATTGGTCACATTTTATGCCTAACAAATTATCTCTCTATTAATATTAACTGGATTCAACAGTACAATAACCATTGACTTATTTTGTTATGATTTATAATTTCTTTTTAAATACAGTATATATTTCATTTAAGAGGCAACTTCATGCTAATAATATTATTTATTATAATCTTGTACAAATAAGACTGTTGATTTTTTAAATGCAAGTTTATTTGCTGTATTTATTAACGATTCATTAAAAAATATGGTCATACGAAAAATAAAAACAAACTGAAATCTAACAGTTGACGAAGTAAAAATTAATTTATAAACCAAAATCGGAATTACAATAGCCATAGAAAAAATAATTGACAGATGGTGATTAAATATTTCAAAATTATTCGCTTTCGTTTAGATTGCGCTGTTCGTATTATATAATTGCATTAATTATTATACATTAAAAATCAAAAAAATCAAAAAAAATATTAAATACAAATTTATTAACATATGACGCTCACACCGACATTATTTTCGTCAGGGACTGTATATGGAATATATCTTGTATAGCTTCTATTTCTATAAAATTATATAATTCTATAATTCTTTAATTTGTAATCGAGAACATCCATAGTAATATGGGTAATATGGTTGAAATTGTGACAAAGTCATACCAGTGATGATAGATTTCAGTGATTAATGTTAATAATAAATATATAAAACCATTATTTTATTTTGATAAAATTTATTATTGTTGATCTATAACAATTCATTAAATAAACGTTTGTATATGTTGTACCCAAATGTGTTATGTCCGAAATGCGCATTTGGAGTATCCCAAATACAAAGATCGTTTGGGATATTCGCTTGCCCCAATGCGCATTTCAGATATCCAATAAATAATTACCTCTTGTTCATTATTAAAATTTTTTTTCCAAGTGATGCATAACATTTGGGAGCCACTGTATAACAAGTTCGATTAATTTATTATTAATTATATTTATTATTAATAGGAAGGATCTTCAAAAATTAATATAATAAAAATAAGGTAATTTTTATAATTTAATATATTTTTTAATATTATTAAAATTTTTTTTCTAAGTATAATAAATTTTAGTTTTTAATTATATAATAAATAATTTAAGGTTACTTATAAGCTAAAAATTTGTAATTTTTAAA